AAAGGGTTTTAGGTTTAATTTTAGGGTTCGGAGGGTTTAGGGTTTAATTTTAAAATTTGGATGTTTGGGGTTTAATTTTTAGGATTTCAATTTTTAGGTTTTGAAATTTAGGGTTTGGATTTTAGGATTTAAAGAAAACGCGAATATCTTTAAAAATCTTCAACATCTAGACAAATTTTCAGAGCAAGTTCAATTTTCATAATTTTAAACATTAATTAAAAATTTTTCATATATTTCCCTTTTTATGAAATTTTATTTTTGTTATTATTATTATTATTATTATTATTATTATTATTATATAAAAATTATATTTTTTTATTCCCTCCAACATCTAGACAGAAAAAATAAAAATATTCTATTATTATTATTATTATTATTATATTATTATTATTATTATTATTATTATTATTATTATTTTAGCATTTTTAGTTTTTTTTTAGTTATTATCCTATTTTATTTCATTTTATTATCAATAAAAATAATCAAATATATATTCTAACAAATTTAAAAATTTATCATGCATAAATATTAAAAATAAAACTCAAAATAAAAAAAATAATAATATAAAAAAATTTTAGAAAATTCAAAAAAATAAAATAAAAAAAATACCTGAACCAGACCAATCAACGATCCGGTCAACGCTGGTCTGGACCAATCTAATCGTTCGACAATTTAATCAGCGATTCAGGTGGTCCAGTGGTTCAGACTAGTTCGATCGATTCACTGACGGTTCGTCTGGATCGATTCAAAACTAGCTGAAGCGGGTCATAGGTCAAGTTACGCAGATCCCAGGTCAGATCCGAGTTGACGTCCGAATCCCCTTAGTCCAAAATGACGTCATTTTGGGTTTTGCTATTCTATATAAAACCATTTTTTTTACTTCATTCTCACCCTTCAGCCAAAAAAAAAAAAAGAGTCAGAGCTTCAGAAGAGCTCTAAGGGCTCTGCTGACGTTCGATCGTCGGCGTCCCTATCGTCATGCTGGCCGCTACACCTACCGTCGTCAATGGGTCACTGCGCGGTCTAAAAACATAAAAAACTTTCAAACGTTCACCTCGACGTGATCTTTTTCAGATCTGGTGTCTGTTTTGCTAGAAACAGCCCCGATCAACGTAGATCGGAGCTTGAAGCTTTCGGTCTCCTTTTTTTTTTTAAACAAAACTAACAAAATTTTTTATTTTTTTACAGGTGGCTTGGCGCTAGGTTCCTCCCTACAGAGAAGATTGAAGTTTTTTTTTTATGGATTTGTTTTAGGTTTTTAGTTTTTGATAAGAGAAGGATGAAGAGGCTAGGGTTGTGATTTTTTAGGGTATGGGAGATTTGAGGTTTCTGGGGGGTTTGAGAGTTGGGTTTTTGGGTAACCGAAGCTGTTTTTTTGCACGAATGAAGGAATGAGGGTGATCGATGGTTGAGGGTAGAACGCAGAGACTTCGAGGGGTCGAGCCAATTGAAGCAAGAAAGGATCAATGCTTTAAGCTTTATGGGTTTTTAGGAGTTTCAAAAGGGGAGCACGTGATGGTTAGTATGGCAGGGTAAGGGTTCTGATAATGAAAGGTATGGTCGAGGGGTGGGTGGCTGAGGGTCTGGGCATGGTGCTGGCAAGGAATAGGTGTGGCCAGAGGGGTGGGTGGCCAGTGATGTCGTGCAAAGCATCATTGCCACCCCAGTCTTCTTTTTTTTTAAATTTAATTATTATATTTTTATAATAATATTAAATCAATTTGATAAAATTTAAAAATAAATTCAAAAATTGAATTATTTAGAACACAAAACTATCAACCTAAACAAAATTAGTGTCTACAATACGTCTTCTCATTTAGTCTTACTTGCCAAAGAGTTCAATCCACTATGTGTTAAATGTTACAACTTAGCTCTTCAAAGCTTTATACAATCAACAACATAATTTGTTAAGGGTTATCCTCTTCCTTAAACTCATAACCTCACAATATAAGTTTTTAAAGTATTTTGTAAACTCAAATAACCTCTCTAAGATTAGGTATTTGCTAATTTGAAGTACAAATCTAGATTAAGAAGAATATTAAAAGAAAATCATATACAACAAGAAATTTTCTATTTTTCTCACACTAAGATGCTCTTTATTACTGAGAAAAGATGATAGATGGAAGTAATAAGTTTTCTTGACTCTAAATACCTTCAAATGTAGTGGAAGACCTTTATTTATATGTTGAGAGTTGAAGATAACCATTGCTTGCATTAATTGTTTTAAGCCTTTGTAAAATTTCAAATAGCTATTGCAAGCATTTTAGGCACGAGGGGATCGATCCTCTCATATGGGAGATCGATTGGATCAATTAAAATTCAAATAGTTTCATGCTTGAAAAGGCATAACTAATTGATCCATACATGTAAGCAATCAATCATTTTTTTAGGTAATCGATCCTTTTTCAAAATCTGGAACCAAATTTTTAATCTATATAAAAAACCAATCAAACCCTTCATAAAGGGATCGATTTTATCTTTAAAAACTTAGAACTAATCAATCCATACAATGAGGGGATCGATTGGTTTTCATAAAATTTGCACAAAACTTCTTTCTGACCAAAAAAATAATCAATCCCCTTGAAAGAGAATTAATCCCTTCTATGCTATTTTGCTCAATTTTGCTTTTAAACATTGCCAATGAATTAAACATATTTTTGGTTAGATAAAAAATCAAAAAAACATTCATATTAAATTTCAATCATTTGAATTTAAATTTAGCAATTTTTTTTTATCATTTCAAAATATTTTATCGATTCAAGGTTAACATAATATACTTTGTTTGAATAAGGGTTTGCCTATCACTAAATGGCCCTTCACCAAATGACAAAATTAACCTTAGATAATCGTGACTAAATCACAATTTCTTCCATTGAACTTTGAATTTAAGTTATCAACCTAATCTAAAAAGAAAAAAAAAAACTATTAAAATTTACCTAGCCAATTTAGATCCATCACCTCACTTGCATTAAGTAAAAAAGGCTTTTAATGTGTGAATCATGATTCATGAAAGGTAATCAACTTACAGCCTTATTAAAGGTGAGATAAGTACTCCTATCAATACAATTATTATTTATTAAATTTTTATTGATAAAAAATTTTAACCTTAGATTATAATGATTTTTTTTACTTTTAATTTCATAAAAAATAATGAGTATTTTTAAAATTCAAATAATCCTTTTGTTTTATTTTTATAATTGATAAAGTATGATTTTTTTTATTTTTTTATTTGGAACAAATTTTTAAAAAAACTTTAAATGAAGTATTTTTAAATATATAATTTGTAAATTTTAATTAATTAAAATATCTAAAACAATAAAGGTCAAAATTGAAACTTATTGAATAAAACAAAGTCAATTACAAGGTTATTGGGACAGAGTAATAATTTTCTTGTAGTATATACGCTTTCAAAATTTATTTACGAAGGATTCACTTTTTCAATAAAAACATAAAAAAGTCAAAACTTATAAGTAATTTTTCATTAACTACTGAAAAGATAAATAATAATATAAAAACTATTAAATATTTATAGTAAAATTTTTAATTTTATAAATAAAATTAATAAAATAATATATATTTTAAAATATATTAAAATTAAAAAATAATATGTATTATTTTTTAAATTTTTATTTATAAAATTAAAAATTCATTTATAATGTGTCAAAAAAATTTATAATAATTAATAATATCTTTTATAAAATTCCACGTGTCATAATCTTGATATGGATGAAGAGGGATTTTTTGATAAATTATTTTATTCTTCAAATTAAATAAGATATATTATATCTAATAATTTAAAATAAATTATTATAAATCATATATTTCAAATAATTTCAATAAATAATTATAGATAATAATCAAATTTAAAATTTTTATATAAAAAAATAAATTTTAACAAATTAAATCAATAATTTATTAGTAGATGAAGAGAATTATCCACTGTAACTAGCGCATGTCAATTTATAAGTTTTTAATACAAGTCTCGTCAAGTTAGCAACAGTATTTGTCATGTAACTCATTTTAAATACACTATATATATATATATATATATATATATATAATCAAGCAATATACATTTTCTCTTTAACCAAACACTCTTATCTCTTTCCCATCTTCTCATTAATTTTGATCATTTTATTAGGTTCATGTCCAAATCTAACATGTTATCAAACATAAATGATTTTTCACCTGAGATTGTCACAATAATTTTTTATTATCAAATTAAAATAAAAAATATATATCCTAACATATAACTTAATAAAAAAATTTTATATTATTTACTAAAAGAGAAATTGAGCTCAAATCTTCATTTCAACAAAATATAAAAAAAAAAAAAATCTCTAAAACAAGATTTTGTATTTACTATATAGCTAAAAGCATTAATTATAATTCCCTTTATTATTCTCTTAAAAGAGTATATATAACAAAAGAACAAAAAAAAATTACCAAGAAGCATATCGTTTTATAGAGAAAATATAAAATATTAAAATATTTTGGCTGGAAATGAAGACATAATGGGATTTTTGGGTGAAAATGGAAAGAAAATATTATTATGTAATATATATATATATACATGTATAAATACGTACACTATACAAAACGAATACGTATATATAATTATTATAAACAGTCAGTAAAAGCCGGGAGTAGCAGAAGTCTCTTTCTTTCTCTCTACCCATCCGCCCTTGTTAAATATTGAACAACAAAAAATACGAACCCAAAGAAAAAGCCAAGGGAAGGAAGGGAAGGGAAGGGAAGGGAAGGGAAGAAAAGTCAAGCAGATATTCCTCTTCTTTCCACCACCTTCCTCTTCTTCACTTCAACAATTCCGTTTCCAATCCCATTTCCGCTCTTTCGCGTTGATTGTTTCTTTCCTTTTCTTTCGATTCCAATACAAATAGAGAGAGGAAAAAAAAAAAAAAAAAAGAAGCAAATGCCGGCACAAAAGCGTTCTTCCGAAGCCGTCACCATACCAGAAGACGACGATCTTCTGCTTCTCGACCACAGTAATGACCATGAACAACACTTGCAAGAAACCGAAGATGCTGCTGCTGATGGTACACCTAACCAACTCTATGATTTTTGATAACGAATACGACCCAGTTTTTGTTGTTTTGATTCAAGTGTTCCTTTGGGTTTTCACAGAATCTGATCGCAGCCCTTCTCCTTGTAACGAACATAAACAAGAGTAAGTTTCGTTTACTACTTTTGTTTCGATTTGCTCTGTTTTATTCGTTATTTTTATTGTAACTGTTTAATAACGCGTCAATGGCGGGGGCTTTGTTTTTTGCGATCTGCATGGTTTCATTGTTGCACTATAAAAAAGAAAGTTAGTTCATCTGGGCTAACTTGCTTCTAACATTCAAACTTCCTCTACATGGCTATTCTTAAGCTTTCTTACGTTCTCTTCTTTGTCCGATTGATTGCTTTTTCCTTGCTTTAGTTTTAATGGGTACGCTTCTTTTTCAAAAAAAACAACTGCTTGGAGTTTTGATTTGGGGTCTTTCTGAGTTATTCCTACTCTGGCTTGCATGAGAGTAATTTCGAGGTCGTATTAATACTTGTAGCTTTGTTTCACTGTTTAATATTTGCACCTCCACACAATTATTTGCGTATACTCATCTACGTTTGAGGACTGGGATTTTGGTTTCTCCATGTTTGTGATCTTCTTTTCGATTTGTAATGTTTAGGCATTTTCAGGGTTGTAACTTTCATTTAGGCTGTTGACCAACTTTAGGAAGCTTTACCGCTTATGGGTGCTTGCCTGTATACCTTGGGTCAGGCTGTCTCTCCTTGGTTTTAGGATTGATCTTTCTCTTGGTCTCTATATGACCAATGCATGATGATCCTATACTGTTGGAGTACTTTGGCTGCAACAACAGTTACATTTGCAAATATTTTTCGGTGTCACTATTGATCATCTTGTCAAAATGTTGTCATTGTTCAATATATTGAATACTTTTGCTAAACACTTACTAAGGTGTTGTTGATATGACAGTCGCCTGCTAGGATGCTTTAATGTTGGGATTCCATTTTCTCTCTAATAGTCAGAAGTTATGATGTTTTGGTCATTTCTGATGTAGTTTCACAGAAGATGTCCAATTATCCATGTTATCCCATTGATAGATTTTTGAAATTTGCCTCCTTGTTGAAAAACAGTGGTAAATGAACCTTCTGGAGAATGCCTTTTTTTGAATTTCAATTGTCAAGGAATTTAATGTAATTTATTGTGCTTGTTGGAAGCTCCAAATTATGGAACACCCTTGATTGGTTACACTGAATGGAAGAACCTCATCCTGAGATGATGTTAGACAAAGTTATAAACCTCCCTCTTACTCTTATTTTTGTAGCAAGCAACTGTTTCAAAGGTAATGGTTCATCTGTAATATGAGGTGCTTCTGTCACGACAAAAAATGATGTCCTTAGACAATTAGGGCTAATTCCTTGTAGTTGTAATATTCACTTGTGAAAGGGATTATTTGTCTATAAATGCTACTTTTCTCATTTTTTTCCCCATACTTTTCCTTGCTTCTGTAGTGGCCATAATGCTTAAAGTTTTCACAAGAGCATAGATGATCATTGGAATTTGCTGAGCAATAGTGCAGTAACCTTGATATTTATGACGTGTTTAATTACTGCATGAATACATAGCCTTGTGAAATAGAATTCAAGTTAAACAGGTTTAAGGATGAAACCTAATTACTTTAGAGGATGTCTATTGATTTAACTCTAAGGTTTAATTCTGAAAGGTGTGTTGTACAATCAATTAGCCCAGAGTATTTACAGTTCCCATATCTGGCAAAATGTTTTACAGCTGTAATTGAATAAGAAAAGAGAAATAGTATGGTGGCCTATGTATTGCTTGTTAACTGCATAATATGCTAGCAGTTTTTCCCTTGTGTTTCATTGCAGGTATGTTCTAGTAAAATTATCTGACATACGCAAAGAAGTACAATGCCCGATCTGCCTGGGTATGTTCTTTAAGAATTTTTTGTTTAATATGTTAAATTTTATGGTCCTGGTTTTGTTGTGGTAAGGGACTTATTAGCATTTCCTTTTTGAACTATTACAATTCATCTTATAAGATAGCTCTCACATGGTTGTACTTTGTTCCAAACTCTTTGCATGTATGCTGACAAAAATGATGTCAATATAATTACCTTGTGAGTTACTGGAAATAGCTAGTGACAGGTATTGAATTGCATTTAAAGTTCTGATGTGATTTAGCTTTCAGTTATAAAGAAAAAAAATTTATTCTTCAGTATTAGTGCATGTCGTTTTGGCATATCATGTGCTGATAAAGTTCTGATATTAAGTCATGAACTGGCTGCAATTCCTGAATCTTTCAAGTGTCTTGAATTCGGTTTTCAACTGTCACAGAATCAAGTCCTAGCTCAAATGGTTAGGTGCTTGAATATTTTGTTGTTGTTCTGCTACTTTTTGGAACATGTGGTTCTGAATCACCCACCATATGATTATGTTACATTTATTTGTATAGCTTTCCAATTATCTAAAATATCATATGAGGTGTTCATATTACTAGATTGCTCAACATATCTGAAAAAGTGGAATCAATTTTCACAAGAAATCACAGAACAAGGTGTAAGCTTATGTTTTCGCATTTTTTCTTGTTGAAATAATATTAATGTATATAGCATGTAAGCATCAACTTTTGCTGAGAAAATATTCATTATCTTCTCTTGTTTTTAATTAAGGGATCATTCGCAAAACAAGAACTGTAATGGAATGCTTACATCGCTTCTGTAGAGCATGCATTGACAAATCTATGCGAATGGGGTATGTTCAAACTATTTCCAATCTCCTCATTAGTTCACTAAAATGTGGATCAGATTTCCTGACCTGACCTGACCTGGTTTGGTTTGGGATGATCTTACTAAGATCCATAATTAAGAGTGACTTGTGGGCGCAAATTCTTTTCCTTCTTGTTAATGTTTCTTGAATCTAACGGCAGGAACAATGAATGCCCTGCATGCCGCACGCATTGTGCTAGTCGCCGTTCTCTGAGAGATGATCCAAACTATGATGCCCTAATTGCAGCCTTATATCCAGATATTGACAAATATGAGGAAGAGGTATAGTTTGGTTGATCTCTGCAGTGCATATTGGAATCTGATTTTCTCTGCTATTGTTAAAGCTCAATAATTCGTCACTAACTATGTGGTTTAGGAATTGACTTTTCATGAGGAGGAGAAAGCTCGGAATAAGCAGGTGAGGCATCAGATTGCTAATTTACTCTGGTCTATTTGCCTATATGCTACCTTGAAGTATCCTTCGCAGTCAAAATGCATTCATGTGTCCTGTACTCCCCTTCTTAAAACCAAATAAATAAGTAAAAGCAATTAATTAAATTCTAATCTGAGATAATTTACTTCAGATCCAAGCTTCCATTGCCAAGACTTTGCATAGGCAATCAGAAGTTCTGGGTAGGAAACGAACAGTTAAAGCCACTGAATCTGCAATTATAAGGAGAATGCAGTGTAGCCATCAAGGGAGGAGAAAATATCGAACTTCTGAACCTCAAGAGTCTAACAGTAATGAGGATGCCAATGGAAATGGAAGCACAGATTCATCTTTGGCCGATGAGGATCTTAATGAGGTCAAACCAAAGAGATCAAAGAGATGGGAGGGTCAGTTTTCTCAGCCTTCTACAGCTGTTAATGCAGATGGGATTGGTGACGAAAATGATTCTGAAGTGAATAGAGAATCCTTGGGTGTATCTGCTGCAGTTGGCCCCTCAGGAAGGCTTCACTTGGGAGCAGGCAGCATAGGCAGTCACACACCACATGACAGTTTGAGTGGTGACGAAAATGATTCTGAAGTGAATAGAGAATCCTTGGGCTTGTTTGCAGCCCTTAGTGGCCTCTCTGGAAGGCTTCATTGGGGAGCAGGTGGCATGCGCAGTCACACAAGACATGGCAGTTTGAGTGGTGGACATGGAAAGAATGCCCGAAACAGCCGCCTCTCTAAGTTGGTGGATTGTCTCCGGAACCTAGAGGAGAAGGATGATGAGGTAAAGTTGAATTTTTGGTGGTGATCTTATGTAGTCTGCCATGGTAGAGAATCATCCATCTCATTTTTGGATTCAGTCGGGCCAAACTGTGTACCTCACTGAGTCCAAAACATATTGCTTTAACCACTTTACAATTGACATATAAAGCCACTCTTTATCTGCTAAGTTCATGAGATGATCATTAATGTTATTCTGGATTATCATTGGTTTTGAGTTGTTACTTGAACTTGCTGAAATGTTTGGATTACTGATTTGCTCTATTTTCTTTCAGCTAGATATCCACCTGATGCTTGTCTCACTTGATGAACAAAGAATACCCCATTTACAGCGGCCTTACCTTTGTTGCAGGCCAACTTTGTTGGTGAGACACCTGTGCCAGGTAATTATTCTTCCATCAGAAACCTCACTGTTCATTTAATAACAGTCCGTTACGCTTCAAAACCTTGGACAACTGAAAAATTAATTCTTAATTGACCTCCTTGCCTAGTATGTAGCTCTGCAAACTGATTTGCAAGCCAGCGAAATTGAAATATACCTCGTAAAAGAGTTCTATTCTATGGTCAACATGTCAACCTTTACGATTACCAAGCCCAGTTTAGCAGAATCAGTCAGAGATAAGTTGCAAGTATTAAAAGAGGAGGAAACTTTGGCAGGACTTGGACTGCAAAATTCCAGTCATGGCCGTTGGGTAAGCTCCATCTCTGGAATAAATGTTGATCCCTTGATCATTGCATCCAGAAGTATGCTATTGCTAATACATATGCACATAACTGCATATACATAAGCACACAATCTTCCTTTACCCCCTACTTTGGTTACCACATTTATTACATTTGGTTTGTGTTATTTTCCAGCTTCTGGCATATCAGAAAAAGTAAGAGAATTCAAATTGACAATGAAAAGTTCACTGCCAACTGTGAGAACAAGATGTTACACCATTGCTATTACAAAGTATATTACTCTATATACATTACAGAACATATGGAATCTCTGAAATGGATTTGTGTTTTGACTGTTACCTTGCGCTAGACTAGTTTATCTCGTACAAACAAGGGGAGTTTAGGAGTACACTAAGTATTGGTGGCATTTTTGGAAGCAATGTGTAGAAAACTAATTATTGCAACCATTAAATTTATTTATTATGCTATTACCTAATTTTTGTCCAACGTTTTCCTTAGAATAAAAATATTCTATAAATCTTTATTTTTTTTATCAAACGTTAAAATGAATGCAATAATTGTATACATGATTAATCCATATAAACTGACTCAAACCTTTTATTTAATAATTAAAAACGCTTAAAAAACATTAAAAACCTAATTTCGAATCAAATTTCATATTTTTTTTTTTTGCTTGTATTAAAATTTTACTCTTTTAATGTAATAAAAAAAACCCATATAAACTCAATTCACATAAATTAATTAATTCTTAATTAAGAATTCAATATTTTATCGACACGTTCCGTGCACTTATTGACATCTCCTTGTATTTGGAAATGGTATTGATCTTGATGGTACAAGGAAATGCTCAGCCTTGCATTTGCAAAGAGGTTGGGGGCCTTGGTCTACTGTGACATCTATGATTTAAAAGTGAGCTCACGCATATTGATTTTTATGTCTTTTGCCATTTTTCTAAGTTATCAGTCCAATGGGTACCAAACAGGTCCCACCACCACACCGTTTTCATAACCCTTCCTTATCCATCAAAGGCAGGTCCACGTACCATGAAAGTGAAACCCTATCCACTTCTCTCACCTCAATAATGCAAACAATAAAATAAAATAAAAAATACATAGATCGATAAACCCAAAATTAAATTAAAATTACATACTTATGCACATCATACAATACCATTACATTTATTTATTAATTTAATATCGCCGCCGCTCACGGCCGGATCTTGATTGAAAAAGGATCGTCAACCACCGTAGGCTATAGCGTTTAGTGCAAATTCTTCCACCACACCCTTAGCAGCATCATTACTTATAAAAAAGAAGGGCTAACTAAAGTTTTAGTCAGCTCTTTAACATCTACTTGAGATATCTCAAAACAAAGACACATGGGACATTGACAATTGCAAAGACGCTATTTACATGCAACATGTGGTTCACCGGAGCAACCTTCTGCAAGGTTGCTAGCCGCCTCTCGGTCACAACCCAATCAGCGATGATGCTTGCTCCTGGTCTCCCCGCTGTAAAGCCTGTCACCACATCCCATCCAAACCAAATTTCATCTTAATACAATTTTATAAGTTGATACCCAGAATTTAGATCCAAGCAACTTACCCTAATCTTGATTATTAGTAAATTAAGAAGAAACAAAGAAGCTTATAAATAAATTAGTGTAATGTTACAGCATAGTGTTATACCAAATGAGTGTAAGAGTGTATTACTGATCAAAAGAATTATTTCCACGCAGCTACCAAACAGATAGCCAAGTTTTCCTTCCTGCTCTGTCTCTGAGTCTCCGTTTGGTTGCTGAGAAAATGTTGGAAAAAAAACAAAGATAGAAAAATTTTTGAGGAATCTGTTTTAAAAATTCTTATACTATATATTCAAAAATTAAGAACCAACATCCGGTTGATGTCACCCTTGCTATTATTAATTTTGTTTCATTTTCTCAGCAACCAAATAGATGGGTTAGGGTGGATCACCAGCCTAAAAAGCAAAACCAAGTGTCTAAAAAACTAGATCATGTTATGACGAGCCAGACATATCCATGCACGCAAGTTTGTGAAACAATAAAAAAAAAAACTGTACGTGCATACCAGTCATAGACAGTAGGAGAGTTAGGCTGTGGCTTGTCGAAAACCTCGGCACCAATACTTTTGGTAGCAAGGTTGCTACCTGGATGGAACACGCTCCTCCATACGTTCTCCCTACGAGCTGACACCGGTGTCGTTGGTGTCGTAGGTGTCACAGGTGTCACTGGAGTCCCTGGAGTCGCATTCATCGACAGCGATCTCTGGTACTTGCTCCCCTCTCCTTCATCTAACCGAAAGATTAATTCAGAGTAACAAATTAAACTAAATTTCAACAAATCCATGCAAAAGCTAATTGTTTAGGCTTTACCTTTGATGGCCAAGGGCTGGGTGGTGATCTTCCTAAGCCTGCCAAGACCAAGTTCGGGTTGAGGCCCAGCTATTACATCATCCCACAGTTTCTCTAGCAGAACCATTTTTTTCCTTTTTTTCTTGATTATTATCTCTTTTCTGATTTCTCTTCTCTGGTATGTTTTTTGGTGGTGCTCTATTGTGCCATATATAGAGAGAATAAAAATATTCAAACGTTCTCCTAAAAATAAAATGGTTTTTGTCTATTCAATCTTATGCTATTGACAAATTAATATTTATTGTTGAATTAATAGATATTGAATAAATTGAAAGAGTGGATATTATGAATCAACGCAGTAAGGATAGGGTCTCATATAGTGGTCGCAAAAAATATACTCTAAATCTACGAGAGTTTTGGGTTATTCTGATCAAGTGTAACACTTATAGACAATTGTTTGTTCTATTCTGCAGAGCGATAACCGGGGTCCACAAAATATGGTAGTCATTTGTTTAGAAAGTGACACGTGGGCCCCAATCAATTTGATCACGGGATTTCCACTAATTTCTCTTTTAATTATAATGTTTGCCAGGCTATATGGTGCTAGCGTAATACTGACATTATCGTTTTTGTTGGGTTGGGTTTTTTTTTTTTTTTTCTGATTCCGATTGACTAATGTTGATTTGATGATTTGATATATTTTAGTAAATATATGTTGGTGCAATGAAAGCCATAGGGTTGTTATTTTGTCATAGGAGAGTGTTACTGTAAGATTGATTAACGGTGTTTTAATTGTAGCATTTTTAAGATATTAAGCGATGTTCTTGATGTCATTTTCAGTATTTGTTGAATTCAGCCATTAGGAGGCAATTTTGTCTTAGTGGATGTCATTTACATAGATTAAAATAATTCTAAAATTCATTTTTAAAAATGTAAGAAAAAGGATTCCAATCGGGTCGATCTGGCCAATGGCAAAAGCTGATTATTTTTTTTTTTTGAATAATATGCAGTACCAAAAAAACTTTCATTTGCAAAGCCCAAATGTCACTTAGCTCCATAGGCCCATAGACGAGAAACAAATCTTCAACATTAGGACCCCAAAGATTCGAAATTGGAGGCCCAAAACAGAACAAAGTGAAAAGCAAAATTGCCCATATGATTGTGCATTAGAATATGTTAGCTATGAGGCCCACAACCGCAAAACTGAAACCCCTTAGACCAGATAATTTTTATTACACTTTGTCAAGCCATTAATTTGTTCCCACAGTTCGTCACATAATGATTGATGCCGTCCAAAGGAAACAGGATTTCTCACCAAAATTTATTGGAGAATCCAACTATCGAAAGACACCAATTTCATTAAGACAATGACATATGGCAAAAATATTGCATAGGAAAAAGCAACATACCGCTCTTCTCATTTCAAAGGCTGTCACTGAAAGCAATTGATATGAAACCCTGTCGATAACAGCGGCTCTGCAATGAATGAAGAATGTCTCCGAATCAAATAACAGCATAACAAAATCATTTAGAAGTCGCTAAGATCTAAAAGTAAGACACAAAGTTCATTATTTTACCTCACCTGCTTCATTGGTAAATCCACCCCAAAGAAAAAATAACAGATGTTGCACTCACATGTACGGATGCAGTAACCTGCTGTAGAAAGATTAAACAACCTACCCTTCACAGCCGATAGATTCCTTCCAAGTTTTAACTGATGAAACAATGCATCCTTTGTTTGCTTTTTATCAGAACGCCAATCCTAAATCAAATTATAAAATATTTTGAGAATATCTGAATTTCACAATTAGTTGAAACACGTTAGTCAAACAAACAAATCATAACAAATATGTTCATTCAAATATCCCGTGGTACCTGGTGTATAAAAGGTTTGCACCCCATGAGCCAAATTCATAACAAATTCAATGGGAGCCCGCATGTAAAACAAGATTTCCATGGATGTTACAGCTGATAGCAGTTCACTTGACTCTCTTTCGTTTGCTGGCCTTGTATGTATTCAAGATCAGCAATCAAAGTCTCATACCAACAGTGTACCAGAACAGGAAAGATGACCAAGAGTTTGAGTTTGTTTCTGGTACACCCGGTACAAGTCCTCACCACTTGAAGAAAACATCCCATCCTGACATGGTAATCTCCGATAGTCATCTCTTGCCACAGGGATTCTTATTGAAATCAGCACAATCTCAAGCTGCCAACAAGCCAGGCTACAAACAGTCACGACAACCATCTCTCCATAGTGGCAAAATGCCAATTGACAACCATGCCAATCACACAACAGTTTCTCATAAATCAAATCAAGAAGTGAAAAATCAAGTTAAAAAGGAGCACACTACCTCAAGATCTTGGTTTGGCCAGAAATTATTTCAATCATTTGTTTCCCCACGCGGGGAATGCCATGCTGTCAGGCCAACTATGTAACCAAATATTGCACCACAAGAAAGTATCAAGTTACATAATGCAAGTCTATTCTTTCTTTTCATTTTTTCAGAATTGAATATGCCGCTTGAGGTAGAAGAATTTGGTCAAATCAACCAGAATTTTTAGAGTTAACAAAGTTGAATAAAGTTACAGACAGAGGTTTTACTTTTCTCAAACAGAATACTATAACGATAGTTGTAGAACTAAATGATCACCGTATCACAATTAATTTACTATTTTGGATGGCTTCACCATTATAGTTGCCAAGCTCCCACATCCTAACAACTCCGTTAATATACAAATCTAAACAACTTAACACTATAAATTATGGCATTCTAAAGCAACCATAAGGGCTGTCAAATTATGGCATTCTAAAGAAAACCAGAAGGGCTGTTAAGTATGATTTGCAGCTAAATTTCCGAAGAGTTGCCAGATGCTGATTATCATGGTTTTCTAAATTTAGCATATACCTCTATGAGAAGCTACCTTTCACATTTATGGAATGTGCTTTAAGTTGTACGTGAAGTTTTATAATAAGACTACGACCCATTACTTCATATGATAGTCTATTCACCAAATCTAGTACTCATTGCCTTTAATAAAAGGAAAAATTGCAGTGCCTATAATCTAGTACTCATTCAATCCTGATGATAGTCTATTCACCAATTCTTTTTTCTTTCTTTTAATCACATAAAAACTGACCTATGGCTATGAATCATGAAGCCAGTCTAACAGTGCCTATAATGATGTAAGCCACAACATGATTCTAAACCAACACATACTCACAAAATCATCGAGGGGATGAGAAAAATAAAAGGCAACTGCTTAGGAACATCTACTATTAAATCACTAAAGAAAAGATAAGCCTTAAGCGAAATGAGATAAGTACCTCACCACGTAAATCTCCTTCTATAAGGGTGACAACGAAGTAGAGAAGCAATATGCAGATGTTACCAGTAAACACAGAAATCTGATATCCATAGCTAACAGAGCAAGACAAACCAAAAATATCATCAAACAGGTGTAACACTCCATAAAAACTGCCACTTACTTTACACCAGTTTTAACCATAATCCTGAAGTATAAGAGACCATAAATATCAATATTAATATCATCATAACCATGACATTACAACTAACTAAAAGTTTATTGGAAAACTGCAGCGTAGTATGGAATGAATTCAAACTTTTTACAACTCATACCTTGTATTCAGAAAACATGTTGAAAAGGCCACGAGTTCAAGACTGGCCAAAAGGGAGTCCCATTTACAGAAATAGTTTTAAGTGATCTTAAATAACCATCAGCTCAGCATACAAGTAAACTAGCAATTAACTGTTCCATTGGACTAATAGAAAGTTTAACTTAAACTCCCTCGGATTTCCCAGCATGCAATCTAAGAAAATTAACATACTCCCTTAGGCTTATACCCACTATTAGTAAGCCACATATATTGTAGAATATATACAGCTAACAAAGGAAACAAAAAAAATTATGAAAAGATTTCATGAGAAAAATCAGAACACTTCCATGATGCTCAGTTTAATATGTTGAACACAGCCTCAAACAAAATTTTTAGGACTTCATCAGTAAAATGTGCACAAACTGTACAAATACATAAGCACTCTAACTAAAATCTCAAGATTTTCCATATTTATCGACATATTCCTGCAAAACAGAAAAAATAATGTCCAGATGAATGAATTTAATTAAAGAAAATACAAATACTAAAAAATAGTTAATTGATCGAGAAAAGTAATATTCACACTTCAAAAAATATATTTTTTGGTTGGAGGGAGGAAGGGGGGCTGATACAAGTAACAGCGGATTTATTATCTAGATCTTGCCAAGTATATACTACCTCTTAAATCAAAGACTCTCACCTGAACAAGCGTTGCTATTTTTGGTTGGGACAAAGAAAGACACTGCTTAACTGATTCTAAGGTATTTGGAATTTAGTGAGGTTGTATGGTGCCAAGAACCTTGTCAACTGCGTTTTTAGCTATAGTGTTATGAGCATCTTTACTGAGATGACCGTCGCACCAAGTTGGTTTCAACAGTTCTTTAATTAAATCTACAAGAGCAGCATGTAAAAGCCTCATTGCTTTCGAGTCTTTGAGCATGTCCCCATCTGCCTTATGCCTGACATCTATTTCATTCTTTTCTCTAACCCTATCTGCTTTTAAGTCTTTTTTGCATCTAGACCCATCTCTTCGATGTCTACCATCACAATCAGTATCAATTTTGTTTGTCTTTGAAATGTCTTTGACATGAGAAGCAACCGAGGAAATATCTTCTTTAGCCAGTGTTCCATTTTGCATGTCAGCTGCAGAAATCCCATCATTTAAATGAATCTTTTCCAGAAGTGTAGCAGTTATTTTTGACCAAATTATCATGCTATCTATTATGGCAAGATGCAGTTCTTTTATCACCATCACATTCAGGGACCAGCAGCCCCTTTGATGTAGAATCACCATATGTTGGTGGATATGCTACATTCAGGACGGATGGACCTTGACTGGAGAAAGAAAATTTAAGAGACCTTTCTCCTGCATCGGACAAATCAATGCTATCACAATGAGGATCATACTGGCTTTGTGGGGATGATATGCCAGAAGTGACAAAAAAGGATGGTCGAAAGGGTACTGATGGTTCCCAATCATCTGAAGAAATTTTTATTCTATATTCAGCAAAGTGCAATGAATCCATGGGAATATCATTTACAGGAAAGTTTTCTGGTTCAGAACTAGAGAAGGGGGAA